AATACAACAATCTTTGTCAAATGTATTTTTAAAACATTCTTATTTTTCACCAAAAGAAAGAAATGCAACTTTTTATCATTTTTTATTTTTATTTTTTTTATTTTTTTTGTGAAGCCAAGACAATTTTATTTTTCAGAAATAAAATTAACATAGACTATTGATTCAACCTTTCTAAAGGAAATTCAGTCAAGTATGTCTTAAGGTCCTCTTATTCATGACATTAAAAATAATCTATTTACATCTTATAATACCTTGAAGTATGAATTTAAGAATAATCTACTTTATTTTAAGAAATGCTTATATTTTTTAAAAAATAAAGCACAATTACATGTCATTTAAGTTTGGCATAATTTTTTAATTACATGATATTTTAGATACAATAAGACCTTGGAATCAATATCAAGAGTTTTTAGTGGCTTTAAATTAGTTTAAAATTTTATACAATTATTTAATAATTTTTCAAGATAAAAAAACTTCTCAATATTGACTTTACAAAATATTCTAACCATTATCATTCTCACCATTATCAATATTAGAACAATCATGATTTTTTGTTTCTATGGATTTTATTATAGATCTTTCAATCTCAAATTTTTATGATACTATATATGTATTAGTAGATTGTTTCACCAAAATAGAATATTTTGTATTATGTACATAATCTATCACATGTAATAATAATATTAATAATAATAATAAATATATAAAAACTAAAAATATTCTTAAAAATATTTATGGCTATCATAGATTACCAAAAGATATTATATTAGATAGAGAGATCAAATTTGCATTAAGATTTTGGAAAGTTCTTTTTGAGATTTTGAAGGTGTACATAAAAGTATCTTTGATTATTTATTGTCAAACTAATGGACAAACAAAATAAGTAAATTAAATTTTTGAGCAGTATCTAAGATATACTAGTGACTACTATCAAGATAATTGGATTTCTTTATTACCATTGGCAAAGTTTTTTCATAATAACATGATATATACTTTTGTTAAAAAAAACATCTATCTTCACTAATTATGGTTGTTATCTACAACTTGATATTTTTGATCTCACAAAAGATAATAAGCTTATAGCAAAAGATTTGGAAAATTATTTATCAAAACTATATGTAATAATAAAAGTACAACTAAAAAAAATTCTAATACAAAAAAAGACCAATATAGATGTATGTACAAAAAATAATCTCAATTCTATATTAACAATAAAGTATGGCTAGTTTATCATAATATCAAGACTACTTGCCATTGTAACAAGTTTGATTATTATAGATTTGGATCATTTCCTATTTGTAAAAAAATAAATTTAATTGCTTATTAATTATAGCTACCAAAGTCTATAAAGATCCATCACATGTTCTACAAACCTCTTTTTAAGCCATGTAAGACAATGAGCATTTTTTAAGGATAAAAATTCAAAGAATACAAATAAACAAGTGAATTACTTATTTTTCTCAAAGAAAGCTCATAATATATATATATATATATATATATATATATATACATATACATAAATTGGCTATTGCCAAAAGATATTAAAATTAGAGACTTTTGAAACTAGACTAGTAGCAAGAAAAGAACTAACAAGAGTAAAGAAGGTCTAATTTTATAAAAACTTAAAATTGAAAGATTTGTAATAAAATCCATAAAAATAATAGACCATGATTGTTTTGATATAAGTAATGGTTGTAGAAGTTTGTAAGATCAATTTCAAGGAGTTTTTAATCTTAAAAAAATATTACATAATCATAAAAAGTCTTAAATTATCTTTCACATTTTAAGCCATTGAAAATCTCTTGATATTAATTTCACACAAATAAAATATAGTCGTTGAAGAGATACAAGATTGCTAAAATTGTTTCTATTTACAAACAATCTATTAAGTCTTAGTTCTTCAAAGATAATGCATCAAAAGCACTACTCTCAATTTTTAACGTTTTACATTTATTTAGATCTAAATCTTCTAAAGATAATAGATTTATTTATTTCCAAAGGCATATCTTTTAAATTCTTATATTCATTAAAAAATAATACCTTTAACTTTGTTATGCCATCAAATCTAGCATAAATTATCTTTAAATATAAATATCTATAAATTATAAGTTCTTCAAGAAATGTAAGATTGTTAAAGCTAATATAAATTTCTTCCAATTGCAAACAACCTCTTTAGTATAAATTTTTCAAAGCTATCTATATATCACATGTATTCTATTCAATTTTTTTCTTTTTACAATCATTTAGATATAAATATTCTAAAAATGATAGATTAAAATAAAAATAAAAATAAAAATTATTCTAATTTAAATATAATTTAATTTTAAAATAAATATAATATTAAATATCTTTATGAATATATTTAAGATTTATTTTTAAAAAAAAATAATGAGAATCAGAGCTCAATTATTTCATAAATATACAAATGATTGTGCTAATGATAAAAAAAATTATAATTTATTTTTGAAGCATAAATTTCTCTCTTTTTAAAAGAATTAGGTATTAAAGTGTTTATTAAGTTTTTTTTTTTTTTTTTTTTTTTTGAATGGCTTCAAAGTCCTTTATTTATACTATTACCTATATCAAAAAAAAATCTAGAAACTATCATGTTTAATTTCTACTAAAATTTGGTTACATCAAGAGGTTTTAAACAAATAATTCTTATAAGATTCTCTTTATAATAAGATCTTATAAAATTTTGGGATCCTAATAAATCCATCTAAGTGTACACAATAGCATTCTGAATTTGATCTTACATAATTTTAATATAAGAATTCAGATCGTTCTAGATGTTATCAAATAAATTTATATAATTTATGATAAGTCTTTTAATTCTTTTCAAATTATACATGTTTGCAATTCTAAACACATTTTTTTTTTTTTTTTTTAATAACATGCATTTAATTTTTTTTATACAATGACTAATATGCCTTAAAAATAAAGATTAATTTTGGATAATTGACCAGTTAGGCTTAATCAAGTTAACAATCAATTATAAGAATTAATTCCGAAAATAGAAAAAAGTTTTATAATATAAATTAGTAACTTAATTTTTTAGCATATTAAAATATATATATTAATTGAATATAATTGTCATAATCTATTTTTAGGATTATTTTTTAACTAATAGAACTTGAAAATTTGAATTATAGTGTTATATTATCAAATTTTATTTTAAATTTATTTAATATATATATATATTAAATAACCTAATTCTTAAGAAAAAAATAATTCACAAATTTTTTTAAAACATATGTACAAGTTTTTTAAATTTTAGTATTTAGAAATATATTAAATTCTATATAAATATACTTATAAAAATAGAAAATTATTAAATCGATGCATATTTTTATTAAATCAATCCATCATGTAATAATTGGCGTGTAATTGATATATAATGGAATGAACTAGAAGAATGTGTGCCCTCTTTCATTCTTTCATAAATAAATTTTAGGAATTTTACAATAGAACTGCAATAGAAATAGAAGTACTTTGTAGATTTCACTTTTATATTTTGCTTAATTTGGAAGAAGGTTTTGGATCTCACCTGTAATTTTTATTTAGATAGGTTGATTTAGCAAAAAAATAGATCAATTAATAATTTTCTAGAAGTATCTATAGTAATCTTAGTTCAAGAATATTCAATTTATTTAATAATTAAACACCATATTTAATCTTTTATAATGAGTTAAATGAAAATATCAAAGTAAAAAACTACATAAGTCAAACTATATTGAATAATTTTTTATATAAATAATACATAATTTTACAAAAATAATTTTCATATTTTTTAATTCAAAAAAATTAATATTAATCACATTTGATTGAAAATTTAATTAATTTTATTATATTTTAAATTTGAAAAATATTTAAAATCATACTCTTAATAACTACATACTGTTTAGCATGCTATTTTGTAATATATTTCTATTAGATATATAAAAATAATATAAAAAATAGATTCTATGGTATAAAGCTAATATTTTGGAAAATCATTTTAACTTAAAATAATTTTACTAGATGTATTTTATAAAAATAATAAAAAATCATAGACAAAATTATATATGATTGTACCTTCTATTTTAGTGTAATAATTATAATATGTCTAATATATTTCTTTTTTAGTAAACAATACCACAACTAGTAAAAAAGAACTTACTCGAAATTTTGAAATTACATTGTGTTTGTCTAACAAATTAAGTATAAATTTGTAAAAACTTTGTAAAGCATTTCTACAAAGTTATAAAAATAAAAAAATAATAATATATAATATAATATATATGTTTGAAAAAACCTTCCTTTCTACAAACAAATCGAAGAAGAAAGGAGAAGAAGAAAGAAAAAAAGAAAAAAGAAAAAAAAACTTTTACATTAATAACTATTTATTTTCATACATGTATGTATATATGCATAGTAGTATACATGGCTACACATACATATATCATGTAAAATTGAGATTTTACTGCAATTCAAAGGCTGTTAAAATGTCAAGTAAGTAAATTCATTCTTATTTGAGTTATTCACCTTCTAAACTAACAAAGAAATGAATTATAAAGAAATAAACTTTAATCACATTAAACTATATATTTCTTTAGAATGCCCAACATACTGTAGATTATCAACAAACTCGCTAATATGAGTCTAAATTAGATTATAAAAGCAAGAACTTTTTGAAATTACACACATGATTAATTTGATCTCAATAAAACATTCCGTCATCATATTTTGACTTTTGAATTTTTTTTGGATATCTCATAATCAGGTAAGAAAAAAAAATTAAAATTAAAAAGAAAAAAGGCTTGCTTGATAAATAGGCTTCTACATTCAGCTTTAAACGAGTTGAATAAAATTATAAGAGTTGCACTATTCTGATTTGAAATCTTATGTTATGTTCATATCTATTTGAATCGAACTTTTTATCATGACTGGAGTGAGAAAGATTCATTTCAAACTTAAATATTGGGATTTGTTTTTAAAAAACCTTTCAATATATAGTCGTCTTGAATTGCGAATAAGTTGTTCGTAATAAACATAATATGTGATTGACACATTGATGTACTTAAAACAAACTATTTCATCAAAAGTATAGTGTATTGCTTCATACATTGCATATTTTACATTGCGGCATCTTTGAAGGATTTGTTAAAACACTTCTAATGCTATTTTGAATACGCTTGATTTAGAAAATAATGGAGTAAGAAACATTGAAAGAACATCAATGGAATTATTATGGAAGAGTACCTGTGATGACGTAATTGGAAAGAGAGGGGATGAAATAGGAGTGGTAAGAAGGGACAAGTTTTTCTCATACTTTGTCATCGTGGAACCACCACCGAGTTTCCTTGGGCGATCTTCCATTTCGGCAGTTCCGCACATACTGATCATCATCAGGTGGTCTCGCCTGTTGCACCACATACGCAATATTTGTAGTGATACAATACAACCACCACTTCAGGTATCAGGGGTATCCCTTTACACTTGTGCACTACGAGATGTCACCGTACATTTATCTAAATAATTTGAAAATGAAGTCAACATAAAACAATGTCATTAAGTGTAGTATTTCTTTACTCGCGCTTTTCTATCCAAAGATTAAACGTGTGAACAAGTTCAGGTTAACAGGATACCTTCACTGTTGAACTAGATAACATAGAGAGGATGCTGATGCAGATGGAGCTCACAGTCATTGCTGGTGACCAAGAGTCATACAATATATCTGGTTGAACAAAAATAAATCCCAGAATGAAAAATCATCATTTCATTAACGTGCACCACTCTCCCTCATGACTGCGTCGAGTGTTCTTCATTCTATGATTTTTCTTTTCATCTAACATATCAATGGGAATTCGCCCAGCCACCCTACTTCCCAATTGAACCAGTCTTCCCAATATGCAAAAAATCAAGCATGATATCTGCACCTTGCACCTTGTGACATAATACCACATTCATTAATGAAAAATTGTTAAATTAAGAGGTTTGTTGAATTTGACTTTGTTTAAAATATGTGATGTAAAACATGTAAAAACGATGCATAACTCGCTCTCTTACAAAAATTAATGTGAATACTATCAATTGAAATATGTAGGAGATGTTACAATTCCAAAAAAAAAAAAAAAAAAAAAAAAAAAAAAAAAAATCACTATTATCACATTTTAAAGTAGTATAGCGATTTAATTTTGTCAAATGTATTTCGGGCACCATCTTAGAAGAAGACCTTCATTTCTATTTATTTTGTTCATACCAACAAATAAGACATTATGATTTATATCAAAAGTTCACTTCATCCAGAACTTACAATACTTATTATTAGCATTTAACCTGCAATAATAAACTCTCTGATACGTCAAAATACTTCCGAAAAACACCTGAGAAGGTCTAACAGAAGAGGAGCACTCACCAAGACAAATGTGGCCATTGCTGTAGATGTGAGGGTGCAATGGAGGAATTTGCATAAACACAACCTGCAGCATTGAAGCGTGAGAAGTTTTGTTCATGGGATGAAAGGAATACACACATGCATTACCGGACTAGAACGTTCCATAAGGTTTGCAATTCGTGATCATAGAAAGGAACGCAGAAGTGCCTGAGGTGCCTCCATTGGATAGTGCTCGGGAAAATCGACTTGCAAATGAAACTCTTCGCCTTCGTACAAAGTGTTTGGAGCTCCATGCACCTCAATTATCCATCTGCGGATAAACAACCTTGCCTGATGTAATAACCAAACCATCCGATCGCAGACACAGGAGGGATTATAAAAACAGATTCGCAATCATGTTCCCACGACAACAATTTCATCTACCTTTGAAGACTGTCAGTAACTCTGTGCCTAAATCCACATGGTGGATTCACTTGCCACTCAGTAAGTTCTTTCTGCAGCCGATTTGCAGCAATTCGACTCAGAACCTGAAATATCCACCATGCAGTAAAGCAAGTGAGCAGAACCATGAAGTCCTGAAGACCTCGCCCAGCCCTCTTCAACATGCGAAGCAAGCGGTAACAAGCGCGGTCCTGATTGACATGTGGTTCCACTAACAGTTTCCATCAACAGAAGAAGAATGAGGATTAAAATTCAATCGCACCTTCTCCTTTTGGCCGTACCCTGATGAGCTCATGATGGAGCCTCAGTGGCAGTGACTGGACAACAACTAGATCGGCTAACAGTTTGTGATTCTCAAAGTTCCAATCAAAACTCAAGCAAGAAAAACGGAGAGGCAACGTTCCTGGCCGACGAACACGTTTGTTTCGCAATACTCAAGACGTATAATGTATCAAACAGACACCATCAACTCGCGCTGCTGACTATCGCCACATGTGGCAAATTTCAAACATCCTAACAGACAATTTCAAACGATATAGTGACAGAAAGTCGCAGCGGCAGTGGCACACAATGGGCAGCACCCGGCGATGATTCACACAGAGAAGCGGAAGCGAGTGTCGGAGAAGGATAAATGGAAACAGTATGGGCATGCAAGGGCCGCGGGGGCATGCAAGGGCCGCGGGGGCATGCGAGCGTCAGGAATGGGAAACATGCCCGCCAACACCTTGAGCCAAGTCCACAACCCTGACGAACTGGATAACGAATGACAGTATGGCTATGGCGTGTGAAGCATGGCCTTCACCGCTCTCAATCCAGGCTGTGATATTGGTGCCACAAAAACAGTGATGCTTCCCCCATCATAGTTGACACACTACGGCTTTTCATTCCCGTTGTGATTTTTTAGGGCAACGGAAGGGTTTGCGAAAGTAGAGAATCAACTTTGTATTGATTAAATAATTAAACAGTATCATTCATAATTAAACAACAGCTCAAGAAAAGTTTAGTTATTTCTGTAAGTTTATTGGTCATAAAAAGTATTTGATGATTATCCTTACATATTTCAATAAATTTTCCTCAGAAGCAAAGGCTACCATGGCACCACGGCTACAAGCGAAGGACATATGGTTTTTTAGAATGAAAATAATCATCAATCAATTTTGAGCTTGATTTGTATGTGCTGCATCAAGAAAATCTTACTTATTGTAAGAATATTTTTGTACAAATTTGGTTGGACGAGTTTGGATGATTAAATAAAGAGGATTGTTAAATTGACTCAAGCATTTACTAAATTGACCCACCCATCCTAACTATCATCAAAAAATTCTCTATTGCTGGATGTGCATTGGTCAAAAAACAATGAAAAAATGGTTAGATCCTCAATGGGTGAATCAATTCAGTAAATGTCTAGGTCAATTTAAAAATTCCTTAAATAAAATTTTATATTGTATTATCATTCAGATCTTTTTTAAAATTAATAAATATTTATATATTTTTTTTTTTATAAATTACAACATATCATTAAAAGAAAGAAAAAGCAAAAAAGAAAAGTGAGGATGGTCATATTCTTACCTTTCTATGCAGAAGCTAACAAGAAAACCATGAGAAAGATTCATAAAAACAACAATATTTATGGAACTAGTAGGTAACTTACATAGTAGTTTGATCAAGACTCCTTGAATCTTTATGACTTCTAAGAGAAGTTTCTAAAATCACATAGCATACCCAAAGATGCTTGAATATATAAACTACTTTTAACAAGCTCATACCTCATTTATGCAAAAGGTCTACAAAAAAGATATTATCAACCTAAACTATTTCTACTTACTTTTTTTTTTTATTTAAGTAGTATGATTATTTGTAAGACACATTTACAATATTTTTGTTTGTTTTTTTTTTCTTCTTCTTCCTCTAAAACCTTTAGTAATTCTATTAGCACCATTAAGAACTCATTGATGAAAATCTGAAAATCTCTGTTCACACGGCACAGGGAAATGAGGGGACAGAAAAGCAGGGGAGGGGTTTGGCCAGTCCAGACGTTCATCCTCGCCGTACAGCTCTGCTTTCCTGTTCGTGTCTCTGCACTTGCAGTGCTCCAAGGTCGGCTTTCGGAGTTTCGTTCCATCTCGAGGTTGGCTTGGATCGCTTCCGGTGTCACATTTCTCGATTCAACTCCCACGAAATCACAACACCGCTGAATAAGCTTTGGAGTTTCTCGAATATTTTTTAGACTAGTGAGACGCGTTCATCTTGCTATGATACAGTGGATTCGTTCGCCTCAATCCTTACTACCTTTGCTTGAATTAGCAGCGGAATTTGAGTATGGTGCGGATTTGGTTGTGCTGAGGGTTAGTTTGCTGGAGGATCATCTTAGTTTTAGAATGCATGGGGCAATTTTCTGGGCATTAACGATGAAGATCTCATTCTTATTGTTTGGAAGAAAGGACTCTGAGAATTTCGACAAGTATTAATCCTAGTTAATTTTGGGTAGATTCTCTGTTTAAAATGAGTTGTATCCAGCAGCGATGGATTGTTCAACATCTTTTTTCAATTTTAGAGATTCGCGTTTGCTTCCGTCAGATAGCAGAGGTTTGTAACCTAATAGGTGAATGTCTGCGGTCGTGTCAAGGGTGATCATATCTGGAAGATCCTGTTGAAAGCTTTTGCATAGGATTCATCAACTTGTTCATATTTTTCTGTCTCTTGTGGAGTTCTTTGAATAAAATTTTCATTCTGAATTTTATTGTTCTCACAGGAAGTAAGCAGTTTGTGGGATAAGCGGAAGACTTAGCGAACGGCGATGGGATTTCTCAGAATTTTTGTGCAGATGTGCGTGGGCACTTAAATGCATCTCGATTTGTGACACAAGGGGAAGGCGTCGACATGGAGTCGAATGGACTGAAGAAGCCCCTCGCACAATCGCCCGCAAAGGCCTCTGTTGTGGCCGATGGGAGTAGGGTTCCTGTTCATTGGCCTGATGGATTTGACTTTGGTTTTGCAAATTCCCCTGAGATGCCGATTCAGCCATTGCTGCTGCCGCATCCATTGCCACGGCCCCGTCCATCGACGCAGCTGCCTTCATTGCCACGGTCGCGTCAATCGCCGCAGCCGCTTACATTGCCATTGCTGCGTCCAGGAGCAGCTTTTGCAGCTGCTGCGTCCCGACAGGTTACGCGAAAGACCTCCATTTCATCTCATAGAGATTCCCACATTGACCAGGAGGAGAGGTCTAGACAGCAATCGGAGTTTAGTGAGGGAAAGATCATACATGTTAGTCCATCCGTCGTTACGGAGCAAAAAGCGGATGATACTAATGGGCTTTTAAAGGATTCGGCGAATGCAACCCCAGGGCCTGAAGATTTTGCATTAGCTCGCAGTGTTCCAGAACATGAAAATCTAGTTAGGGTTGTTGATGATGCTAGTATTGTGCCAAAATTTAGGATTCGTGTCATTGATGAGCCAGGAGTTGTGGGAGAAATTGAAAGTCTTATTACGGATGAGCCAGATGCTGCAGGAAAACCTGAAAACCTTCCTACGGTTTCTAATGAGCCAGCAGTTGTGGAAAGAATTGAAAGTCTTATTACAGATGGGCCAGAGATTGCGGAAAAACCTGACAACCTTCCGAGAGTTTTTGACGAGCCAAGGGTTGTGGAAAAAATTGAAAGTATTGTTACAGATGGACCAGAGGTTGCAGAAAAACTTGAAAACCTTAGGGTTTTTGATGAGCCAGAGGTTGTAGGTGATCCAGGTATTTCTTTTCCCAACAATGTCGCTGACACTTCTTCAAATGTCATCTATCGTCACGAAGATCACAGCTACGCTAGCTCCGAGATTTCCACCGAGGAGGAGCTGAGTGATTCGGATACGGGCTTGATAAGCACGAATGACAATTTTAACTCAGATGACACAGATGAAGCTGTAGATGCTTTAGAAACAAACTTGGAACAAAAAGACGACCAAATTGAGGAGACAAGGCAATCACCTACAGCGTTTCAGTTGGCCGAAGAATTAGAGATGCGCAACTCCTCCTCGGGTTTACATTGGAAGGAAGGTGCAGCTGCTCAACCAATGAGGTTGGATGGCATCGAGAAATGTAAGCCTGCAATTGATCTTTTGCAACTAACTACCTATGGCACTCTCTCTCATGCATTAGCCTCACCTCAACTGAGGAGGGAGTATGGTTTTCCACAAGCCGTGACCGTTCATGCAAATTTTATCGCTGTCGGATTGTCCAAAGGAGCTGTTCTTGTCACTCCTAGCAAGTATTCAGCCACGCGCAGTGCCGATGAGTTGGAATCTCAAAAGGTCCATCCGATCTTCTTTTTTTTTTTTTGAAGTCGAAAGACATTGTAGTTGTTTATTTTATTTATTTTATTTAAAATTACGCACAGAGTCTTAGAATTGATTAGAACTTGAAGTTAGCTTGATTTCTAAGTTTTTACCATTCCTGCTCGAGTTGCTCCTTGATTTCTGAATCGGCATAAACATGCAATGTGTTGGATTTTGTTTTGCATAATGAAGTACTGTTTATGTTGAAAGCACTGGACGTAGTGAATACGTTCGTGTATCATGCTCAACGCAACAGTGACATGTTTCAAGTGAACGAAATAGGAGACAAGTTTTTTTCCCAGTTAAATGTGACGGCTTAAATAATGTGTAAATATTGTTTTAAATATTGTGCGTCTTTGCAGGCTTTTTTCTTGGGAGGGGGTATTGAAACTAAAGAACCTGTTAGTTCTCTTTGTTTCAGCCATCAAGGGGATCTCTTGCTAGTCGGCTATGCGAATGGAACCCTACGATTGTGGGATGTTTCTAGAAGATCAATGTCCAAAATGATGAGTACTGAGCACTCGGAGGCTATTGTTCATACTTTGTTCTTAGGACAGGAGGCCCCAGGTGCTCGCAATCTAAGAGTAATTAGTGGGGACTGTAAAGGGAGACTTCTGTTGCATGCTTTTTCTCAACAGATGGTTCCTTTGATTCGCCGCTTTTCTGTAGAAACACAGGTGCTTGCTCTGATGATGGCTATTTTATTTTTATTTTTATCGTCCATTATGTTTATTCTTTTAAAACGTTTGTTACCTTACTTTTGAAATCTCGTCATGCTTATCTTTCAAAAAGTTCTGAATGTGTATGATCTCAATTTTATAATGTAGAAATTGTTATTATAAAATACTGTTGTGCACATATCATATCATTTACTTGGTTCCACTGCAGTGGCACTAAGGCGTGAGTGAACTCAAGTGCATTGAAATATGTTCTGACGGCTCCTCTTGGTTTTGTGTAAGAATAGTGTCTCCTCGAGGGCGACAAGACTGGTCCTGTTTTATCTGTTTCACCTTTGTTGCCTGACGAAGGTCTGCATGTCTCGAATGGAGTAAACTCCTCTCATCAAAGCCGAATCTCCAGTCCTCCGACGTTGGGAAGTGTAATGGGCGGTATGGGTAGTGTAATGGGTGGAATGGTGGGTAGTGTTGGTGCAATAGATGTTGGTCGGAAGTTCCTCTATGATGGAGGAGCTACTTCAACAACCTCAGCAACTTCAGCTGATGATGGGCCAAGACCGATGTTTGTCTTGGTCACGCACCACACTGTGCTTGTGGTAACTTCCTTTGCTTTCTTGCATGGTTAATAATTTACGGTCAGTCAAGATGACGTTCTCTTAATAAGGTTTCTGTGTGATACTTCGTTTGATTTGGAAGTTTCACAAATACACGTTTGATAGACACGCATCTGACCAGTCCTGACCTGTACTTGAATTTCAGGTGCGCCTTGCTGCCGACATGCAGGTACGCCAACCAGCTTTAGAAGTTATGTCAAAGTTGAGTAGACCAGCTGGAATCAGGGATGGTGCTATTGCGTATACAGCATGGAGACGCATTCGTGCTAAGCTTGGGACTTCCCTTGTTTCTAGTAGTGGAAACTCAGACTCCAACGTATCGAATGGGAGCACAGCGACCGCATTTGTCACTGACCGTGCTGATGCGAAGAAGGATGAAGGTGACGCCGCTAACGATGTCGTGGATGATGACGACTTACCAATGTTAGCCATGGGTTGGGACACGAAGATGTTCATTTGGCAATTAACACAGTCAAAGCTAAGGAAAGTGAGAGAATGGGAACTCGATAGTCCTGCTGTTGGGCTAGCTTGGCTGGAGGAGCAGGTTTTTGTTCTCGACTACATTTTTAAAGCAATTTTTCATGTTCAGTGAATTTTCAAGGCCATCTGAGGCGAGGTCTTTTGTTTGCCGGTTAGACTCATTGTACTCTAGAAATGGTGTCAGCTGTCATTTGGATTGAATGTCAGCTCTTCAAGTATTCGTCCGACAAAAAGAATTCTGCATTGCCATGTGTTTGGAGTATATTTTGAAACGTAAGGGTGGTTGCAGATGCTGGTCATTGTGACAGCTAAGGACCAACTCTGCTTGTTTACGAAGGAGGGTATTGAAGTGGAGCGTGGGTCTATACGGGGAGATCAAGAAGGGATGGGGGCTCTTATCTACCACAGTCATATTATGAATGCTCTTGGTAATCCAGAGAAAGCTTACCATAGCTCACTATCTGTCCGCGGAGCTGCTCTGTATCTGATGGGTCCGCAGCAGCTATGGCGTGCTCGTTTGCTGCCTTGGCGGGAGCGCATTAAAGCATTAGAAGATGCTGGCGATTGGATGGGTGCATTCCACATTGCAATGGAGTTGTATGATGGGCGAGCCAGAGGGGTAACCGGGCTTCCAAGAGGATTAGATGCAATGCGGGAGGCTATTATGAGTACATTACTGGCGCTTCTTTCTGCTTACATAGACATGGCTTTTGCGTACTTGTCGGTAGCATATGGGTCAGCTACGTTACCTGCTCTGAATTCTTCCTCAGAGACAGCTTCTCAAGCTGCTGATCGACAAGGGTCAGGGGGCTTGGGCCAAGATTTGCAGGATGCCCGAGAACAATATGCAAGAGTTGGTGGTGTGGCCATTGAGTTTTGTGTACACATTGGTAAACAGGACGTCTTGTTTGAAAATGTCTTCAGCAAGTTTGTGGCTGTTGGACAAAGAGGTTTGTCCTTAATTCTATGTGTCAATCATTGTCTCATTTCTCCCCTTCGATGTTGACGTGTTGCTGTGTTGCGTCGGTTTTGTACTGAAAATCTGGTGTTGTCATATCATGGATGTTATACAATTGAATGATCTGCGTATGATGTGCGATGAATTTTCGAAGAAAGCTCTGAAATTGTCCGCATTGGTATGAAGGTATATTTTTGGAGCTCCTTGAGCCATATATCCTTAAGGACATGCTAGGTGGTCTTGCTCCTGAGGTAGGTGTGTTTTTTTTTTTATCTCTTTTTGAAATTTCAGATGTACAGTATCTGAGCTCCAAGAGATTTTGCGAACAATCGTAATGCTGTTAGGCATGCAGCTGTTACAGAGTAAACTTTGGTGTTCAATTTTCTTGTATCTGCTCACAAGTAGCTGACTTTTGGGTATTCACCTTGGTCACTGTGCACCTTGTTTATGTCTCAGGTCATGCAAGCACTCGTTGAACACTACAGTTACCATGGGTGGGTGGACAGAGTGGAGCAATGTGTGCTGCATATGGATATTGGATCTTTAGATTTTAATCAGGCAAAAAGCTGCTCCTACATCTTCACTCATGCTTTTTCAATTCGATCAATCTGTAACATAGTCTCACGTGATGCTGATGCTCTTTATCAAACTGTCCGGATAGTAAGGCACTCGATTGATGAACAGTCTGTTGAATTTGGGTGGTTGAAATAATTATGACAACCCATCCTTTAAACTTGTTGAATAATGTACCAGCTTCTCGACTTACTCTCACATGTTTGATAATTCGTCCTTGAGTTCTGATTCCATTTTGTCTCTTCTGGTTTGTGTCGTGGCAGGTGGTGAGATTATGTAGAGAGCATGGTTTATACAGTGCACTTATTTATCTGTTCAATAGGGGCTTGGATGACTTCAGGTCTCCATTGGAGGAACTTTTGATAGTTGCAGATCAGGCCTCCAACTCCTCTCAGACTCAACTTGTCGGGTTTGTTTCTACTCAACGTTTCTCTCTCATTGTATTTGTTGTATTGAGTCCTGTCTAATATGTCTTACTTTCTTTTTTTTTGGATATGCATGTTGGTCTTAAGCAGTTGATGCTATATCTCTCCTCGGGAACTCCTATGTGATTGACCATATACTTGAATTTTAACAGGTATAAGCTGTTGGTGTACTTGAAGTACTGCTTCATTGGTCTTGCCTTTCCACCTGGTAAGTAGACCAAATTTACGAGTATGTTTGGAAATATGAACTTTTATAGCAATTTTTCGTGAATTGGAACGTATCAATTGCGTAATGAATCAATCAAGTAGGGTGCATCGCGTCTGTTTTGGATGAGTAGGATTACGATCACGGTTCCCTTGCATTTGTCTATTTTCAGAATCTAATTCCGTAGTGGCATTGTAAACACATACGTGAATATGCTTTTCTTCGTCACAGGCCATGGCTCTCTTCCAACCACGCGTTTGCCAGGGTTACGAGCTGAAATTTTACAATTTCTACTTGATCAAGAAGGTTCCATCAGAGGAAGACCTTTGACGGGTTTCAAGTCTGAAGAGGTCAAGATATACCCTCGACTATGGTTTCTGCTTCAGGTTGACATACAGGCAACCCTTCTAGTCTTGAGGCTGGCCTTTCCTGAACATGGCCCCTTAGGTATTGGCAAGCAGGGTTTTGCTTATCTTACCAGTGCTGATGATGAAGATTTAGTTCTTTCAGCTTCTGAAGATATCCATGATGGAGTGAGGTATGTACAAGCGACTGTAAATGCTTTAGTTGAGATTCTAAATGTGTCTCATAAAGTCAGAGCATTTCCAAAGGGAGTTGATACAGATGTTAAAGACTCTCAAATGATTCGGCCTTCAAATGAAGGTGTTGGATATCTGCTGGACTTTGTGGCACAATTTGTGGCGTCTAGACATGCTGTAGTATCAAGTGCAACGTTCATGATGATATTAGAGTATTTAGCACTACCTACTCATGGAAGAGGAGATGCACTCGCCAATGAAGATTTGATGGTGAGGCTTCTGAATGCTGTTCCTGATTCAAATTTGGATCCGTCTCGTACTCTCGAACTAGCGCAAACCAACAACTTCTGGCAGGTGAGCTATGATAAGTAGCGGTCGATTTGTATTCTTTTGGTTTTTTCTCTAATGCCTGAAACACAACCTATATTCTTTTTCAGAAATTTGCTTTTGGATTTCATTCACTGCATTCTAGTTACCTAGAATGTTGGTTGAAGCATCATAAGTTTGATTTTTGAGCAGGTAAGTGGGTTGCTTCATACACGTGGTCGCAACTATGAAGCAGCACTGGATGACTACTTGAATGATGAGAATCAGATTGGACAACCATTTTTGTATATCATGGATATGCTTGATCCCCAGAAAGGTTTACAAGAATCCGACTTAAGTAAATTTAAGAAAGCTGTTCTCTTGCGCATATCAGAACTTGTACAACGTAGTAGGTGAGAAACTCGTCCCTAGTTTACTACTTTAAAGTCATTTTTATAATCGACGCTTATTCTCTACAAGAAATTGTAGTTTCTGAGTCTTAGTTATTTGACTCTTTAGTTATGTGATGATTTGGTAGTAATGCTCTTGGGTGTGGTTCATTCATCAGCAAAGGCACATTAGGAGTCGTTTTGAAGCATATGAGCAGCGACAACCAGCAAGTCATTGAGAGGCTTGATCATCGTCCGGAGCTCCTGTTTGCCTATCTGAAGGGCATTATGAATGCTCGTTCAGGAAGTAATATTTCTGGTGAATTGGATAGTGCCGGTGTGCTGTCACATTGTAAACATCAGCGGCGCTTGCCCTCTCGTCAGCACTCTACATCGAGCAGGTTCAAACGAGGGAACTGCTGTCCGCAGTGGGATCCGAACGTGGACATCAAAGACTTGTTGCAACAATCTGCCATAGTTTTTACAGACGATATGGCAGAACTTTATGTGGAGGTAAGTTCGACACTTAAGTAGCGCTAAACTCTGGTTTATTTAAATAAATTCGTGTAAAAAACTCCTTTTTTTTTTTTCTTTTTTTTCCTTCGCCGTGAATTTTGTAGTTTGTAGATGATTGATCGCAGCCGATTTGTCACGTCGGATATGATCAGGCGTTATAGTATCTGAGTTTTTAACTCGATCTTTGCGTCGCTTCTGCATCACTGGTCGTATCTTCTCCAGAGGTTTGATCATGATATGGTGATCGTTCCAGCTAATATTTTCATTTGTTAGTCTTTGATGTATCAGTAGATAATTTCTGAAATTCTCGATGGCAGTAATTACTGACATGTTCTAATTCCTAACAATTTTACTTGCTTTTCATGAGTGCATGTTTTATGAGAATTTTGTGGTTAGATTTGGATTGGTGTTTTGTTCAGATTCAGACGAACAATCTCCTGATTTAATTCTTGTACTTTTAAGGTTCGTTTTCAAGAAGTTCTTGCTCGTGCTTTCTCACAATTCTGTGTACATGCAGCTGTTATGCAAATTCGAACCACACGCTGTACTTAAATTTTTGGAAAGCTACGAAAACTATCGGTTGGAACACTGCCTCAAATTATGTCAGGAGTATGGTATTACAGATGCAGCAATCTTCTTATTGGAGCGTGTAGGTGATGTTGCAAGTGCACTGGATCTTGTGCTTAAGGATGTGGAAATATGTAGAGATCGCTTGGAACTTTTTGTCTCCACCTCATCAAGAACCTCTGTGCAGGCTTTTGACAAGGATCAGCAGAGTGTTGTAGAGGTTCGTTCTTATAACTCAAACTGGCTTGCATACAATGTCTTGTATGTCGATTATTGTGATTTCTCTATTCTTCTGGAGCTTTTCGTAAAAATATTTCGTGCCCAATGTTTCTCCATGATGTTAAACTTCAAGAGATGCAAATTTGTGGTTCCTTTACATTATGTACAGGTAGGAGCGGTCAAAGCAGCAGTTGCCGCTGCTGTGGCCTTGTGTCAGCGGAACACTCAACGGCTCGAACCTCGGGAGTCAATTACGCTCTGGTTTCGACTTCTTGACAGGTATGGTCTTATTTCTCTGCACATCATGTTATTGCAAGCGTAGCAGGTCGTATTCTCTTTCTGTCAAGGATTCACTCCATGCTTTGATTAGTCTCAAGCTTAAGATTTGTGATGCTCAATTTGCAGCATTGTGGAGCCATCCAAAGTCGCATCAAATGCTGTGAATACTAGTTTTGAAGTTGACAGAAATTTTAGAAATCAAGAATATTTAGATTCTGAAAGAATACAAATACGAGGAAAATCAAGAGCTCAGCGAAAGCTAGCCATAAAACAGGCAAAAGGTGAGATCTTTCATGCATGAACTTGGTATGATTATGACATGCACAATACGAGATTTGAAGTTGCTGATTAGTTTTGAGTTGCTTTTAGGAGTTGTTTTGAATCTTTCATTTGTTGACATATTTGAAACATTGTTAGATCCTCGCTTCGCTATGCTGACCATGGCAGCAAAGGTCGCTGTGCAGTGATTTGTGAGTTCGTTTGACTGTGTGCTCCAGGCAAGTTTTTAAAAAAAGTCCTAGTGTTGCTGATGGGAGATATCATAGATGGTATGATGGGTTACATTCCACTGCATGTTATAATGGAGAAAATACTAGCAGATCATGGGAGCCACCCATTCCAAGACTTTCGTCCAACAATATTGAATATGCTTAGTGCGTATGGCTATGAGCGGACAATACTGGTACGTCATTTAATACAATGTTGATACTCATCATGGATCCTGTCCACTACGTTCCTCGCACGTCCTTGACGTTTCGTTCGCAACTTCTAATCAAATTTATTTGACGGACGTGCAGAGGACTGCAAAGCACCTTACAGAAGAGGACACTTTCTACAACATCTATGCCCTTCGGCGAGGCTGTGCCCATGGGTATGCAGCTTTGTCTTCCATCTGCTGCATTTGTGGACTTGGGTTGGAAGACGACACTCTGCAAGGTCATACAAGAAGTACTGCGGAGAATTCACATGGTGAATCTACCAAAGGGGTGATGGCAGTAGCGACTACTTCACGTAGCTCAAATGCATTCAGTATTTACTTCTGTGGACACGCTGCACACATTCTTTGCGTAGTTGATGATGGGTCTCATAAAGAAGACCCTAGTCTTCCAGGATGTCCAGTTTGTTCGCTAAAGGTGAAATCAAGCAGTTCACCGTATCATGCAAATAATGCTATCTGGAAAGGAAGAGATGAAGCAAGTAGAAGTTCCACAACTCCAACTCCCGACAGAGTTGCTCCATATTTGCTAGACACAGCAATTAAGAGCTATCACCCTGCTACTGAGATCCCTCGGGTATGGGCTATCTGAACACTTCTATTTATTTCATATAAGATACTTCTATCTATCAGCTCAATCACATATCTCTCATTTTTGTCAATGTACACTGGACGTGCTTGGTACAGGGACCCAGCATAAGAAATTTAGAAGCCAACCTTATGTGCCTACGTGTAGATCAGGACACTGACTTTCTTGGTTTACCACAGTTGGCTGTGCTGAAGCAGCTCCAACAGGGAAAGCAACTGTCAGATTTGGGACCTTCACTACAACTCCGCCTGGCACCGCCTCCAAAAATTCGTTCTCGTAGGGCCTCAGTTCCTGAGAACGGTGGTGCATTACGAAACAGGCATGCTCCGAAAAGCCTGATTAATCTGCGGAGATGATGTAGTAAACGGGAAATGGGTTTGACGAGTAGATGACAGTGTTCTTCATGACGCATCAGGTAAATCAAGTTCACATGCTTCAATCTCTGAATTCATGCTGTCAGTGTAAGATGTGAATTGTCCTTGGCCGGGGTAGATGAATTCTAGGGCGAAACTCTCTGGAATTCATCTTGTTGAAACTCCTGGTGTCCCAACGTTGACTTTTTTGAGTCAACACAGTACCTATTAGTTCCGCTTCCATTTCTTCTAATATTTTCTTGAAGATATCTCAAAATAAAATATTTCTCAGTAGAATTATGCGTCACTTACGTACTGTTTACGATTCTGACAAGTTTTGACGCAGAGTCTCAATATTCTTTTGTACCTGGAAGGCGCTAATTCCTCCAAATGAGTATTCTGATGGCCTTCACTACCTCACTACGCCCCCGGCCTTAGAGAAGCTGAATGCCGTGCTGGCAAATAATAAGCCCTCTACTGCATTATACTTGCAAATCTCTGGATTCTTGACCAAATGTGCAGGAGGGGCCAATTTAGCATTGTGCAATATTTAGTCCGAATTCGGACTCCTAGATCCTTCTTTAGCCGAACGGAGCTAATTTGGGACACATCACATGTACATTGTTTTTCACCTTTGCTCAAAGCACTTTTGATTGTGTAAAAGTAGAAGGCGTTTGCCCTTGAAAAAATCAAGGAATATTAGTTATTTTTTGCTCAAGCTAGTAATTCTTCTTAGAACTCTACAATATATTTTTTCTAATTTAGCTTGAAATGTGAGCAAAAGTGTTTTTGTTTGTTTGTTTGTTTTAATATAATTTGGCTAAAATCACAACCACAAAGACATGCCAAATACTGTGGCAATATAAGCAATTTTTTTTTATCAAAGCAATATTTACATTAACTTGTTTCATTTGGATTTGATTAGTGTCATTTATTACTTTTAAGAAAAAAATCCATATTTTCCTTTATAGCTTTGGTATATCTATTTTCATCAAAGTTAGATAAATGGGTATTAATATAATTATCTATATATTCAAAAACAATTCATATATTAAGATATGCAAAAAAATAAGTTGTTTGTTTTAAAAAAGTATATAGAGTGTTTTTTAACAAATATTGCAGCTTTTTCTTAAGAAAGATGTTCAATTACATTGGCTATGTGAGTAATTCACAAAACCATCATTTAAAGTTCTTTAAATTATTACAATAACAAAGTTATTAAAAATTATTACTTAATTATAATCTTGTCAACTCTTTTAAATATTATTATAAGGACAAAGACATACCAATTTAGATTTAGATGGAAGTTATATATATATATATATGTGTGTATTTTTTTTTTCTCCTATTGGTTGAAAATAAAGTTATAGATATATTTTAATACTTGCAAAGGATTTGAAAAAAAAAAAAAAAAATGGCATCAAATTTATTTTTATTAACAAGAGAACTTAAAAAGATGGTTGCAAAAAAAAAAAAAAAAAAAAAAAAAATGTAATTTCAAAGTTAACCAATTTATTTGATAATTTAAGCCTTTGATATAATAAAGAATAAACAAATGTTTTGATATACATTTGTAAAGTGGTGCAAATTATTAATAATTATAATATAGATTTTAGATATATATATATATATATATATATATATATATATATTTTTTTTTTAAATAATCAAATTCAAAGATTAATACTTAAGAAATTCCTTTATTGAATAGTCTATGCAAGAATTTATATATGTAGATATATCACCTAAAAAGAAGATCCTTTGGGAGTAAAGTCTGCTTTCAACCAAATTAAAGTACATTTACAAAAATAAAATTGATTAAATTACTTTTGTCCTTGTATTGTATTTCTTATAGACATAATTTTTGTAAAGTAATACATCTTTTTTTTTGGAAAAAATATCATAAATATTCCTAAAATTTTCCAAAATATCAAGAATATCAATGTATTTTCAATAATATAATTTTTTTATTTTTTATTTTTTATTTTTTTTATTTGTGATAATTACAAATCTATCCTTCAACATGATAAGCTATAATCTTGTTTTTTTTTAGTTGCAATTGAGGTCCAAAGTGCATGTCATGCAAATTTTGGCATGACACTTTTTCTCACATCTTAGGCACTTCACAAAATTCACACCATTACTTGTGAGCTACATTGACTAGTTGCATAAGAATCTACTTTGGTCTTCTTTTTGGTAATGGTGTGTTGATCAAGACAATGGATATTCTTGCAACATGTAAGAAGCACAATATAATATTTATAACAATATAGGGCACAACATTCTTGAAAATAATAGCTGGTTGTAAGGAATCCAAAAAAAAAAAAAAAAAAGAAAAGAAAAAAAGAAGACAAATTCATCTTCCTAATTGTATTAAGTGTTAGATCTGGTCAATCCTTGCTTTCAACTCAGGTCCTTCCAAAATTGCATCACCTTGACGTATATGAGCTTGAGGTTATCCAACTCATTCAATGGCAAGGTCAATATGGACATATCTATTCGAGCATATTCAATATTTTTGTCCAACTCAAGAAATATTGGATTGACATACTCAATTTGCTAGTTGATGTACCTCATGCATGCATCTACATTAGAAAATGTCTTCACACAATCTTGCAACTTCCATAAGACAACCACAATTGCCACTGCCATGGAATTGTGATTGCTACTTTTCTTATCATAAGAGGCCATAGGCTCTACCAACTTCTATAAGTCCAAAACTTTGCCATCCATTCAATCTCTTCTACTACAAGAGCTTCAAATCCACCTCTTCAAATTGGCATCCACCTTCACCAAACACTGGAACAATAGATCATTGTAAGATTAGCAACAATCCAAATACCAATGCTTCCGTTGTAATTGTAACTATGAGTCAAATTTATCAATTAGGTTATTGTGTTTGGAAAGAGGAGAATAGAGCATTACATTGCCATGAAGGTTTGATAAAGGTTGAGTTTGAACCACTATTCTCATGGTATTAATTTGACATTTACTAATAATTAAAGATCAATAAGGATCAAGAATTAGAGTGATTTTGAAGTGAGTCTTTTTCAACAAATTATCACAAATTTTCATTGCTCATTAGCATTAGTAAGAAATTTTGGAAGAATTAGAAAAAATAGAAAGAATATAAAAATATGTATTTTAAAAGACTCTACAATCTTAAATATGTTACAATAGATGAAAAAATTATTACACGTAAGATTTTTTTTTAATTTGTTGTGTCTTATTTAAAAAATATTAAAAATAATCTTCAACATCAAATATAATTTATTTTTTAATTATTATACCAATAAAAATGCTATATTCTATTAAAATAATTTTATACTTTATTTCAAATATTTCGAAAAAAATTATATACCAAACAATAAAAGTTTGTACTCCACAAATCTTTAATTTCTCTATTTATTTTTGTTTTTTTAATTTATAATGAAAATAAAAATAAAATATAAAATAAAATCATATGATATATATATCTATATATATATATATATAATAGTTTTAAATTAAATATGTATTAATTAAAAATATAATAGCAGAAAATTAATGATAGTTTTTTTTACTAATAAATAATTTCAAAATAAAATGAAGAATTAATACATACAAAACTTTCAAAATAATTGAAGATGATTTTTATATAGTATTCATGTTATATATATATATATATATATATATATATATATATAACATGAATACTATATAAAAATCATCTTAGGTTTTAAATGATTAATATTATTAAATATTTAAAACAATTCTATAAAATATTTTTAATAAAATAAAATATTATTACTAAAGATTTATTATTAAGATACTATTTTATCTTTTATTTTATTTTTATTTTTTTCTAAAAAAATATTTTAATTCTACCAATTTGGTATAAAACTTCTAAATTTAAATACCTATAAACTTTTATCATAAATATTATATTTATGTATTAAATTAGGTTTTAAAATTCATATATTTTATTATTGTATGTTATATGAGTTTAAATACATATATCATATTGGATTTAATATATATATATATATATATATATATATATATATATATATATATTTTGAAATACATTATAGAAAAAGAGAATGTGTATTTTAATAAATAAATAAAATTAAAGTCTTCATAAATAATAATAATAATAATAATAATAATAATAATAATAATAACATAAGAGTGAAATTAAACATCTTTATGATTATATCAAGCCTTCTTGAATTGCAATTGAATAGATATTAAAGAGGATTAAAAACATGGTCAAAATTCTAATACATACTCTTGAAAAATTAGAAATTATTAACAAAATTATAATTTGAAGAACTTATTTTGTTTCCTATTTTAAAATAAAACTAATAAATGAGATATGTAATAAACTAATTTTAATGTAGTTTAAATTTTAAATTATAAAATAAATAAATATAGATATTTTTTATTAATTATTTAGTAATTAATGATCTCATATAGAATACAATATGAAAATTCATTATCTAGAGTCCATTAATAATATTAAGCAATGGCAACCAAGTGAGATTGGAAATATTGAGTAATTTAGACAAAATTGTCCTTATATAAATTCATCTAGATAAGATTTGAGGCTAATAAAATTTAGATTCAAAACCATGAAACAACATATTTGGATTTTATAAGGTTACAAGCATGTCCTATAATAACTCTCTCTTCTAAACATCACATCTTTAAATATCACATTAGAAGACACTTTAACAATAGAATCAAATTAATTCCTTGTAAATTAAGCAATTAAGCAATTCTTACATCAGCTACATCTAAATAATCTTTTGTTTGTTTTTTTTATCCTTTGTATAGATGCAACGTTTCTTTGGGCAATCATGTAGACTTTATATGAAGAGCGATAAGATAAGAATAACATTGATTTTGTTATTAGTTGGTTTTGTCTAGTAGTCAATGGATGGTAATGAAGTGATGGCTATTGCATGAATTGCTTTTTGGGCTTCAATAATATGAAAGTAATCAATATAATTGGCAATAGATTGCCACATGAATAAGACATGCTAATTGCATGTACACATGGGATTTCAAATAGTTGCCACCATTTCTTAGTGTATGTATGATTTTGTAAATCCAAAACATTAGATGATTGCTCCAACATACATTTAAAGATAATATATGATGAAGGAATAATGCAATAACCGCATGCAAATATCTATGACTATTTAATTTGTTATTGTACAATAATTGACAATGGTCTAATAATTGTGTTGGCTATGATATGTTGTTCATTGTGTCATGCTATGAGTTATTTATGAATTATTTCTAGCATTAGAATTAATGGCATTTCATTTGCTTCCAAGATTAAAGAAGTTAGAGATTCTTTAATATTCAAAGTTATATGGCTAAATTAGTTTTTGTCAAACTGTAACAATATCAAATACTATGGTCTAGTACTCATCAAGTATTCTATAGCTTTTTTAGACAGAATCTAGACTTTTGAGAATTCAATGTTAAAATTTAAAATAGTTGGTGTACATATTGTTGCCTAAAGTTGTTATTCAAACTTTGGATTTTCGAATTGCCATTATAAGTTCTCAACTTCATGGTGCATATCAAATATGTATTTATATATTGGAAATGCAAAGTTAACAACATCAATGAGATCTTTTTGTCGATGAGACAAAAATATGAACTTCAAAAGTTTGCAGTTTAGTAGACAAGATGCAAGAATTATTATCTTCAACTTTTATAAGAACCACATAGAATTATTATCATTTTCAACATTCATAATATTGAATGCAATATAAAATATTTGCTTCTCTACATTGATTGTTACAATAGGTAGGAGTATTCAATAGTATTTTTCTTTTA